GTCCCACTACCTCTGAGACACGTGTGCCCTTTGTAAGCAGTGGAATGGGAACCTTCAGACTGGTTACCACTTGTAGCCAGATAGTGAATGGCAAGAGAGTTGTTACCAAGAAAGTGGTAGAAAACGTGACGGGGAAGATTGAAGAGTAAAAAGAAAGATGATTTGATCAGAGTCCCCCACCTCAATGGTAAGGAGTTGCTGCTCTCTTCTTTAACAGTCTCACTCCTGGTGAGTCTGGTGTGTCTTCATGCTTATCAAAGACAGAAATGGTACCTGAGAGTGTGTTGAACTTGAACAGACAGAGTCAGCTTAGTCCACACCTCTCCTTTCACAGCGGGGGGGCAGAATAATGGACTAGACAGGAACTAGTAAGCAGCAGAGTTGAGCTTCCAGCCCAAGTCTTCTAATTCCAAATTGAGCCTTCCTTCCCCTACACACTACTTGGGACAGTAGAGACCACCACCACCAACCACCACCACAGATGTGGCTTTCGAAGTCAGCTGCAGGGCCCTGCCATCGTAAGCCCCATTGATTTCTCTTTGATTTTTTTTTTCTCCCTGCCTTGCTCTTACCCAGTTTCCTCTCTTGCTGGCTACTCTTTTCCTCTTCTAGCCTCTTTCTCTCTGCTTCTTCCCTTTCATGAACCATCTCACAATTAGGCTCAATTCAAAGAGTTACCTAGGTGTGGATTAATGCTGATGGAGAGAAAGAGGGAGAATTAAGTGGGTCAAGATTTTTTATATGCTTTTTTTAATAGCTTGCATTTCTTGAGTGCTCAGTAGATGTCAAAAATTCTACTTTACATGTGTTATCTCAATAATCCTTTTAGCAGTGAAATACAGTAGCTACTTTCCCTCATCATATAGATAAGGAAATAGATAAGGAAATGAGGCTTAGAGAGATTAAGTAACATGCCCCAGGCCTTACTTAATTAAGCAGTAAAATAGTGTCTTACACTAAAGCACGTGCTTATCTGCTGAGTTACAGGATCTATGTATCCTACTCATTTATTTATAAATCTAGGGTCTGATGCCCCAGGCCTTACTTAATTAAGCAGTAAAATAGTGTCTTACACTAAAGCACGTGCTTATTTGCTGAGTTACAGGATCTATGTATCCTACTCATTTATTTATAAATCTAGGGTCTTGCTCTCATTGGAAACTTAAATCTATCATCTCTAAACATTACTACAATCCATGAGTACTTGCTGGAACTTAAGTATGCAAACATTTTGAATTTTATTGCCCAATAGGAACTTGGTTATTTTTACACGAAGACAGAATCAATGTAAAAAGTTTCACTGAGGGCCGGCCCGGTGGCGCACTGGATAAGTGCGCCGCTTGGGAAGTGCGGCGGTGCTCCCGCCCAAGGGTTCAGATCCCACATACAGACTGGTTCCCGCTCACTGGCTGAGCGAGGCGCGGGAGCGGCACCGAGGGTTGCGATCCCGTTGCCGGTCCCCGGTCCGGTGCGGGGGCAACACTGAGGGTTGCGATCCGTTGCCGGACACGGAAAAAGACAAAAGACAAAAAAAAAAAAAAAGTTTCACTGAAACTAACAAGTGATTATCCATTAATGCAGAAATCCCAAGATATGAATTATCTTTTTGTTTTTGGCTTTAATCATTATAGACATGCAAAATCCTGGGCTTTTCGTTTTGTTTTGTTTGTTTAGCTGGAGCTGATCACACTCCAACCTTCATTTATATTGATAAATAGATTGGGATCCAGAGGGATTGTTCCTTATGGAAAGTTACTGATGGAGTCTGCATTAGAGCCTGTCTTCCATGTCCAGTCCCAAGCTCATTCTAGTACACCATACTGATTGGCAAAATTTGTATTTCATAGACATTGCAAACTTTTATAGATGTAACAAATTACTAGTTTCCTTAATCAGGGAACATTCCTGTGTGTGCAGTTTTTTTTGTTTGTTTGTTTTTTTGTCTTTTTCCGTGTCTGGCAACGGATCGCAGCCCTCAGTGTCGCCCCCGCACTGGACCGGGACCAGCAACGGGACCGCACCCCTCGGTGTTGCTCCCGCGCCTCGCTCAGCTAGTGAGCGGGAACCGGTCTGTATGTGGGATCCGAACCCTCGGGCGGGAGCGCCGCCACGCTTTCCAAGCGGCACACTATCCAGTGCGCCACCGGGCCGGCCCGTGTGTGTGCAGTTTTTATGAGACAAATGTTATATGTAGCCTTTGAACTTTTTAATCTCAGTAAATTTTCTGAACTTGAACAGGAACATGCCTACATTTCTCTGGCAAAGATTAGCACACCTGCAGAAAGGAAGCAGAAGGTGGGTTTGGAGTCACACACATCCCATTTCTTTCAAAGCCTATAAATTTCCACTTAGTAATCATTGAGAACCTCCTACAGGTCAGGCACTGTGCTAAGTGCTTTACTTCAATCATTTCTAATCTCCAAAGTCATTCAGGGGTTTATTTACATTTTACAAGTGAGGAAACTAAACTGAGGTCAGGGAAATTAAGTTGCTTACCCAGAGTCACACAGTAAGTTGTGGAAACAGGATTCAGACTGGTGTTTGCCTGACCTGAAGCTCACATTGCCATAGTGCTGTATTCCACCCTCATTCATTTGAGCTGCTGTAATCATGGTTTAAGAGGAAAGTTTTGTTGTACATATTAATTAACTATATTCATTTCAACATTTTTTAAATATGGATTTCCAGATGGAGCTTTCTTTTACCAACCCTGGTCTCAGATGAACTGCAGTGGGAAAGTCAAATTGGAGGATGAACATGATTTTCCATTTTGTCTTAAGTAAAATCCAAATTTCAGCATTTTTCACAGACATAGTTGGCTTTTAATAGAAATGAGGAGTTGTAGATGGACTTTTTACCAGCAAAGTTTTTTAAAAGAAAAATTCACTTTCCATTAGTCAAGGAAGTTTTTTGTTGTGTACAAATTAATGAAGTGTCATCTCTTCCTGATGCCTGCTTAAAATGTGTAGTAAGTTAAGTGTGAGCAAACAACAGCAAAAAAGAAATGGAGCGCAGGAAGGGCTTCACCATTGTGCAGCGTCCTGCGTGCGTCAGTGTTCATGCAGGTGCAAGGCGGGCACTAGCTCTGAAGTAACCTTCAGTTCAGACCTGTTGGACCTCACAACGTCTCCAACTCTGCTACTGTGGTTTCCAGGTGACCAAAGCTCCTCTGCCAAATCTCAAACTTGCAAGTTTCACTAATGGGCAATCTCCAGGATTAGTAGTTGCTTAAATAGAAGGAAAAGAAGACTTTAGAATTAGAGTCAGTTCCTATGTCCTTAAATAATTTTCTACTCTTGCCCTATCAACCGATTGCTTTTTTTATGCTTTATGGTTTTGAATAGTTCTCTCTCACAAATTTTGTCTTCTAATAGCTGACAATATAAAGGTTTCCAAAACTCAAAACACCACAGACCAATTAGAAGAAATTCCTCGTTCTGTTCTGGTTGGTGTTAAGTGGTTGACAAGTGAAATGAGGACCACAGTCCTGTCACAAATGGTGGAAGGGATAATGACAAGCAATTATATGACTTAGCTCAGGGAGCATTTGTGAGAGTGGTTTCTCTTGGAATCCTATTAGAAACCCCATGTCCCCACATCACCAAATGAGGAGACAGAGGAGGAAGGGACTTGCCTAAGGTCACAAAGTGAGTGTTTCTTCAGTCTGCTAGCCTGGTGCTATTTCGCCCACACTCTCAGGCAAAGCACATCTTCTTCACAGCCTGGCAAGGTACATGAGAGAGTGTTGAAGAACAGCCCCCCTGGGGACAGTGTAGGAGGGAGTCATGGTTTTAAGTAGTTGTAGTTGTACACTGTATCCTCTTGCCTTTTGGTCAGTGTGGGAAGTAGGTACAGTACTATGTGGATGAAACCACGAGCAGAAATGTTGAGATTCACCAACAATGCACAGCTGGTCCTTCTCCTGAACGCAAGTCTCCTGAAAACCAGCCCAGGTTCTTAAGAGATGTAAGTTTCCCATAATAAACAAAAGCAAAAATAAGGTGGCATTCAGCACTCTTCTCAGTGCTTCTTTTCCAAAAGTCTCAAACTCTTCACATATTTGGGGTTCTCATCTCTTTAGTGAGAAACCCATTTTTATTTTACCCCAAAGCTTTGTAGTCTCCAAAATACCTACAGTGAAGTGTACCTGCTTGTGTGCCTGAAAGGTGTGGGGAAGGGCTTTGCAGCTGGCAGGACCCTGCCCCTCTCTACCTTATTTGGAATATTGAGAATCTACTGAGAGGGAGTGTGGTAAGGCCCTCAGCATGGAGGGGTTGATTTTGGGGCCGAGGCAAGATGGTTCTCCTATTAAAGGGCAGGAAAGAGTCTCCTCAAGGGTGTCATTTTTCCAACGCCCATTGTTGTAGTTGACAAGACTCCAAGAAACCTGAGATTTTAGTCCCCATTAGGCCATCTAGCCAGCATATATTTAATTCTGAGTTTCAAGAGAAGCAGAAGGGAATTATGGACGGAACACTGGCTTTGGCTGTAGGCAGATGGAAGTTTAAGTCCTGTGCACCCTTTCCCAACTTCTTGATCTTAGGCAGGTTAACTTCTTGCTTGATCTTTGGTTTGCCTGTAAAATAAAGATGATGATCTCTACATGTCCTAATTTATAGAGTTGTTTTAGGAATAAATACACAGAAAATTCTGCATAAACTTTATTTTATAAATGGAAAGTATCATGCTTTTCGGAAGCAACGTCTTTGATCATTAAGGGTACATGCTCTAAGCTTGCCATCAGTTTTTTTAAGATGTGACGTTTGTGATTCAGTCTTGTAAACAAGATCAGCTATGGCTTGTGTTTAATCCAAAAATACAAGTAGAAGATGGAAGATAAAAATAGAATGTTTCACTCTCTCCACTTCGGCACTACTAAAAAAGTAATGTTTTTAGCTTGGGGACAATTGGTATGACTTTTGCTTTGAACTTCCTTTTTTCTTCATTATCTTTGAGCTTTTGGACTTACATGTTGGCTTTACCCTCTGCTTCCATTATAGGAAATTGATGGGAAATCCCTGCTATTGATGACAAGGAATGATGTGTTGACAGGACTTCAGTTAAAATTGGGGCCTGCTCTGAAAATCTACGAATATCATGTAAAACCTCTGCAGACAAAGCACTTAAAGAACAACTCTTCATAGTACAGTCAAATTGGGGTCTTAGACCTCAAAAAATACATAATGACATACTTTAGTTTCATGTGATGAAACTTTGTAAACAGAATACATACATGTGTATATGTAAAGAATTCCAATCAAATGAAACGCTATCCTATTGGATAGACTAGGCAGTCCATCGGCTGACCTGACTTCAGCCAGGAGGAGCGAGGACAAGACATGCACGGGATGATTTTCCTTGTGGAGTCTGTCAGGTAGAATAATCCTTGACATGATTAGACACCCCTACCCACAAAGGCTTTGAAATCAAAAGGGTTTTCTTCATTTCTTCATAGATTGCTTTCCCAAAATCCTTAAAAAAGGAATGTAATGGAATTAGCATCTTTTTGTTACAGACTTAGGAAGAGTAAAAACAAGAAAACTTGGGGAGGGGGAAGACAGAAAGGGATTGCAGCGTCCTTTGAACTCCTCTGCTCCTTAGAGCTTGTGTTACTTGGATGGAATTGCCAACACCCTTTTTATAGAGGGTCCTCCACTTGACCTTATTAAGGTTTCACTGGGATATGCTGCATCATTTGAAACAAACGTGCATCATGGCCCCTCCAGGAGCAGAACTGTAGCTCTGCACAGAGAAACTCTGTTGTGTGCTGGGGATATCCATCCATATTCTGCTGGCTTTCGCCAGGGAGAATGGTATTTTCTGCATAGATTTGCTTTTAAATTGGTTCTTTGTTTCTGAAGAAAGCATTTTTTACTTTATGGTTTGTATTTATAATAAGTTGTTTCTGAAGAAATTTGCCAAGAGTTATAGATCAAAAAAACCTTGTTACTAGTACAGAATATTTTTATATATATTCCTCCATGATGGTGTAATGTTTTTTTAATTGTCCTATGCTTTGTTTGATTCCTGATTTGAGCACTTGTTTTTAAGAACTTGAAAAAGTGGGCTTGCTACATACATCTCTGTTCAAAGAGACATTTGTTCAGTCTCTGTGTGTCAATGCCTTGTTGAACTGGTGCTTTGTGGTTGCAATAAAGCATTGCTTCAGTTTATTCCCAGTGTATCTTTGACCTTTTCTGTTTGGTTGCTTCTGCAATTGATATTAAGGATTAAGGTTTCCTTGAAACCATGGAGAGAAAATGAAGCCTTCTTTTAAAAAAGAAATCTTTACATATAGGCATTATATAGATATATATGTGGATTTATCTTCTTTATAAACCGAATCATCCAAGGAGATCTCACTCCTTCTCTTAGCCCCATCCAACAGGCAATTGTAGGTATCATTTTAGCCAAAGATTTTTTTATGGGCTGTAGGCCAGTGGGGGTCAAGATTTTTCTGAAATTGTGATGAAAGCTACAGACCTTCCCTCCAGACATACTCCCACCTACAAAACTTTGCAAAGAGTTGCTGAACTCCCTGAAGTTCCCTCTTCCTCCTCCTCAAGTTAAGAGTTCCTATTTAGAGGGTGTCATAATTAGTCCCGTGTAGATAATTTCACTAAAGAACAGAGAGTCTGGAGATGAAAGTGAGATACATAGGAGATGGTATAGTGAGTGGGGTTCAAAAATGCATTCCAAATTAATTCAATTATGGAGTGTTTGAAATTTAAGCAATGTTTGTTTTGCACTGGTAGTGGGAAAGGTGGTTACAACAGGAGCATTTTCTTTTTTTTTTTTTTTTCCTTTTTGTCTTTTTTCATGTCCGGCAACGGATCGCAACCCTCAGTGTCGCGCCCGCACCGTACCGGACCAGACCGGCAACGGGATCGCAACCCTCGGTGTTGCTCCCACGCCTCGCTCAGCCAGTGAGCGGGAACCAGGCTGTATGTGGGATCCGAACCCTCGGCGGGAGCACCGCCGCACTCCCAAGCGGCGCACTGTAGCAGTGTGCCACCGGGCCGGCCCCCAACAGGAGCATTTTCTTTTTTTTTTTTTTTCCTTTTTGTCTTTTTTCATGTCCGGCAACGGATCGCAACCCTCAGTGTCGCGCCCGCACCGTACCGGACCAGACCGGCAACGGGATCGCAACCCTCGGTGTTGCTCCCACGCCTCGCTCAGCCAGTGAGCGGGAACCAGGCTGTATGTGGGATCCGAACCCTCGGCGGGAGCACCGCCGCACTCCCAAGCGGCGCACTGTAGCAGTGTGCCACCGGGCCGGCCCACAACAGGAGCATTTTCTATCCCCAAGTTCCCACAGTCTACCTGAGACAGCAAACACAAAACAAGTAAAAGCCAGAAAATATAGTTAAGTGTGGTGAGGAGCGATGGAGACAAAGGTGAGAACTGCAGCTGCTGGAGAGCTGGGTGGGAAAGAAGGGATGGGAGGTCAAGGAGAAGGAAGATGGAATGAACAACTTTCTGAAGGAGTTTGTACAGTAAAATGGTGATGACATTTGACCCCCTCTACCTCAAAGGGACAGCATGAGGAATGTTCGAGCCCTGCTTCTCTGCATCCACCTGATACCTTCCGTGTTACTTTGGAATAGGTTTGGCTGTGAGTAATAGAAACTGCTCCCCACCTCCACCAGATAATGTAGACAAGATAGATGTCTCCCTCTCTCATGTAGATGTCCAGATAGAGAGGCCAGGGATGGTATGGCCCTCCATGACATTAGTGACACAGGCTCCTCCTATCATTTTGTTCCATCATGCAGAATCATTTCACAGCCCAGAATAGCTGCCCCAGCCCTTGCCATCACCACTTGAATTCTAACCATCAGGGAGAAGAAAAGGGGAAAGGAACAGACCTTCTTCCTTTAAGGACATTTCCACGAAAATTGTACATACTACTTTCTCTTATGTCTTGCTGACCAGAATTCTGTCACATTGCCTTACTTAAGCTGCAGGGAAGCTTGAAAGATTTCTTCTGTGTCTTAGAGACCATGGGCCCAACTAAAATCTAAAGTCCCATTATTCTACAGATAAGGGGAAGAGATACTGAGTGATAACTTGCTACTAACCACTCAGAGCAAATGATACTGAAATTATGTTTTTAGATGTATTTTTCTCCAGATTTGAACTTGCACTCAACTAACTCAACTAAACTGCCTGGACTGCTCTATAAGTGCTTTCAGTGTGTGTGTGTGGGAGGGAGGAACTAATTGAAAAGCAAACAGAAATGTATAAAATCATTCCTCAGCCTCTGTTGACAACTTTTGGGCAAATTAAATATAATCTACCTTCCTCCCACCCAGAATGAAGGCCTCCAACAGGCAGGCCTGAGTGCCTTGGCAATGACTAAGGTGCCTTCACCCCCTGCATCCAAGAGGAAAGCAGAGTGACCGAAACTGGCCATAGAGAGAGGCTGGAAGTATTTGACAGGCTGCCTTTGTCTCTAGGCCTCTGTAAAAACCAGAGAAGTCTGATTCCTTTTCAGATCACACTGGATTTCTGTCAGTGTGATCTGGGTCAGCATCTAGTAGCAAATACACATGCTGTGTGGGGAAGCACTTCATGAATGTGAGTGGGGATGCGCATGCCCTGAGGCCAATACAGTATATGGCGAAGGTGTACATGAGAACTAGTTCATGTTGACTTTGATTATTCTCAACCACAGAGACAGACAGGATATCAGAATCACACGAGATTTAAGAAAGTAATAACCACTCCACCTCCCCTCCCCACCCCACACTCGAAACTCAGATTCAGACCCTGCAAAGGAAATTTAATGAATTGATTTAAAGGCAAGGTCACAAACTGGACACTTTTCAGTAGAATCTAAACATGTTTTCCTTCAGCCAATGCAGTGTATGTGTGTTTTTAAAACTACATTTGCACACTACCAGTGAGGCCAAAAGCTCCAATTTGTTACAGTCTCTTCTATTCCCTAATGCTTATAAACAGCAACTTCACATTTTTACATTAACTGTCTAGACCTTGAAGGCATTTGAGTTTTAGATACTCCCTAACCCCCACCTGATCTAAAGCAAAAAGCATACAGAGAGCCTCCTTGGAGTAAGTTAATTCAGGAACCAGAGATTGCAAGTAGATCTAGTTGAAAAGAAAACAAGCTGGCATATTGCACTGGAATGTGCAGCAGATTTGAGCATCATTTCTGATACGTAGTGGACATGATGAATATGAAGAAAAAGAGGCCAGTTGGTAGCAGTCTGTTCATGCTGTCATCAACAAATATGCTACACGAATATTGGTTTTTGTCTGTCTCAGAATAGCATATGCTGTCAGGGGCACGCTTTGTCCCTCAATTGTATTAGTGAAATATGTCTTGGGGAGAATTTAATTTGCAAAAGTCTAATGACCCACAGTTGCCCAACCACTCCCATATTTGGAAGCCAAATGTAAAAAGTACTTACCGGTGGTGATTCATCTGCCTTTGACAGTCCTTGCAAATGGGATCTGCAGGGGTCAGGTCTGGGCCCAGAGCCATTAAGTTTTTTTTGTAATGTTTTGGAGGATGAAGTAAATTGTTCAAAGAGCTGACTGCTGCAGGACAGATATGCCTCGTAGGAGAAAACTTGTTAATTCTGCTTCTAAACCAGGAACAGAAGCCACAGGAAGGAGAGAGACAGCAATGGGTGCATTAATGAACAGCTCATTAGTTTCATGCTGTAGCTCCATAGGCAATTAAGTAGTCTGGGTACCATTTCTGGCCAGTTGCGGCTGTGCTAGATAGAGAAAGAGATTAGAATGATCACATTCAGTGACTGTGGCTGCCTTTTGTCTTAGAATCAGTTGGAGGTGGTGAACCTCAAAGAAGAGTTGTGTCTAGCCTAGCACTGGAGCAGAATGATAGGGAATCCTGTGAAAAAAGCGAGAGAACTCTTTGGCTACCCACAGGTAGGAAGCTAAGTTGATGTCTTTTCACCTCAGTGGGTCAAGGTGTTCCTGTCTATAGTTGTCTTTAGGAAGAAATCAGGAAAGCTGGAGATTCCAGGCCATCTCCAAATGGAAAAGGTGCCCCTCTTCCACAGAATAAGTGCATGGGCCAACCTACCACCTTTATCATAGCAGAGGTGAGGAGAAGGTCAGTGAGTAATGGAGTAAATAATACTGAACATACTTATTACCTGTGGATCTATAAACAACCAGATCAGAGGAAATATGCTGCAATAGGGTATATGCAGACATCACCCATGGGGCATCTTTGGTCTCAGGGGTTAGAGATCTTAAGCTTCCAAAACAAAGTGAGGTAAAGCAACCAAAGGAAAGTTTTGCCACAAGGGCCTCCAGCTCTGTCATCTGTGTCATATATTTATGGCAGTTTCCCAAATTAAATATTTATTTTTGAATCAAAGCAGCAGTGTCATTCAGCAAACGGTTTCATATCCTTTTTCAATGGATTACCTTCTACTTTTATATGCTGGGAAATATGAGATTTGAAAATATAATGCCTTTACTATAAAACTCATCAGATTACAAACATATTTTGAGGAAAAGTCAGTAGAACTCTTCAAGCTGTTTCATATCCTTTTTCAAGGGATTACCTTCTACTTTTATATGCTGGGAAATATGAGATTTGAAAATATAATGCCTGTACTATAAAACTCATCAGATTACAAACATATTTTGAGGAAAAGTCAGTAGAACTCTTCAAGCAGCCAGTAGTTCCTGCCTAAGTGTTTTGGATAAGATTCTCTCTTCTATGCCTGAACCCAGTGACACCAGTTAAGATACACTGTATGCAGGAGTAAAAGCACTGGGATTGTGCCAGACAGGCCTGAGCTTGAATCCAGCCATGCCATTTACTTGACAGCTGAACTTGGGTAAGTTGTGTGGCTCTAGTTAGCCTCAGGTACCTACCTCATCTATTCACTAGTGCAGATACAGAGACAGAGCAGAGCTGCACTAGCCTAGCACTGTCCAATGAAAATATAATGTGAGCCACATACAGGAATGCAATTAAAATTTTCTAATAATCATGTTGAAAAAAAGCAAAGATATCCAGGAGAAATGATTTAAATAATATGATTTTAAGCCAATATATTCAAAATATTATCATTTTAGTATATAATCATTATAAAAATTATTAATGATATACATTACCTTTTTTTTCACTTGCCTTTGAAATCCAGTGTGAGTTTTATATTTAGAG